TTATAGATCATTGTTTTACACTGTAAACATCTTTAATTAAACATTAAAAAGACAAAAATATTCACATTTCCTTCATCATGAATGTGACACTGTGTGTAGATACTCTCTCTGTGTACATTAGTGAACATTATAATGTGTTTATTAGTGTATTTAATGACATAAATCTGTCATATTATGAGGACATTCCCCCATTTGGGGACTTAAAGGGTTGATGTTTGTGTTGTATAAGTCAATGTGCAGAAACTGAGTGTGTGTTGTGTGTTTTCCTACTTTGGGTGCGTGAACTCGTCCACCAGTGACACTTTCTCCACCAGGTCTCCTCCGATGGAGCGAACCAGATCGTAGAAGTCGTTCTCTGTGAAGCTCTCTCGCCCGTCCTCGCTCTCCGGCAGCCAGAAGGAGATGTCGTTGTGGAGCGGGGGGTATTTACTGAGGGGCTGATAACACACAGAAAACACAGTAATCAACACCTCTTGTGTTAGCTAATGCAGCGGCTCTCAACCTCTCCCTGAATGCTGACAGGGAATAAAATACTGAGGTTAGTCTCCTGTCACTCTGGAGCTCACTGGATACGGAAAAACAGACAATATTCTCTCCATAAAATATGATCCAGTTTACTGATAAAACTATTTTAAACCAAAAGAAAGAATATGTTTCCATTAATGAAGAACACGTTACAGATTTTGGGGTCCGGAGTGGAGCCGAACGTTTGAGGGTCACTTGGACTCATTGATATTTCTATAATCCTGGCCTCGGTTACGTGTTAACAGAATAAAACAAACCAAAACAAAGAAGTCAGCAGTGAACGACCAAATCCGCTGAATAAGAAGATAAAAAATAAAGAAAGTGTGAAAGAAAGACAGAAGGAGAGAGAAAGTGCAGCACAGAGTAAAACATGGAGACAATAACACATTAAAAGTTAATCAGGACGACAGAATAAATGTGATGTTTTATTCAGCGGCAGACGGAGTCTTTGACTTGTTTATTATCCTGGAAATAAGTTTTAATAAACAGAGAGAGGAAGAGTTCTTTCTCCGTCTTCATGTCACTGCTTTTATTTATCCATTAAACAAATATATGTATATATATTGTGTATATGTGTGTATATAGAGGACGGAGGGGAGTAGACAATATTCATTGTGTGTTATATTTTTCTTTCTTTCCTTCCTAAAGCAAAAAGTTTAAGATTATAGAAACACAATTAAACATTATTCTTATTTTAAACTTTACTGAAGAACAATTAAATGAAGGTAAACAGGTTTTCACACACTCTTGGTCATATAGTGCTGTTACTGTGTGTGTGTGTGTGTGTTCCCATGTTTACACACACACACACACACACACTGGCGGTCACAGTTCATTACCTGTGGATCCGGGGGGCCAGGGAGGGTTTACGAAGGGGGGAAGAGGTGGAGAGTCTCGGCCCAGGAGAGGTGCACTGACCCTGGGCAGGAGATGAGCCGTGCTCCCCTGGTCCCTCTGGAGGAACCGGGTTCATCAATAAAACTAACAGGACTGAGAGCTGGACAACAGGGTCAGTCCTCTTCCTCCATCACTCCATCACTCATCCCTCCATCCCTTCAGATTTATACCTTTATATCTTAAGTTTTGACATTACTGTTTTCTCTTCTTTCTTCTCTTTCATTTATCTCACGTACTTTTATTCAATATTTAAATGTTCATTTCTTTTTTCACTCTTCTTTCTTTTGTTTCCTTTTAACCTCATTGTCTTTCTTTCTTAAACTTCCTACTGTGTCTCTTTTCCAACAAAAGCTCTTTAATAAGTTTCTATTCTTCCTCCTCTCCTCCTCCTCCTCCTCCCTCATCATCCCTTCAGGTTTTTGTTGATCAATCTTCCGTCTCTCCTCTCCAGTATTCTTTGTTTCCATTTTACCTGCTGCGTCTTACCTGTGGTTCTCATCCCCTCCTTCCTCCCTCTCTC